TCCCAGTGAAAAACTGCCCAAAAAAACTTTTTATTAATCAAGTGATAAAAAGGTGTATAAACCTAATTCGTGTTGATAAATCTAAGCATAAACTTCTACGTGGATATAATGCAACACAATGTGAAAAATTGTTGGCAATAAAAATATCTCATAAGTGAATGGTAATAAAGTGACAAATTATCACAAATAACAAAATTCTCAAACCATTGAGTCAAACCGTTAATAAATAAAATTAACGAAAAACTGTTGTAAAAATAAGGTGCAAATAATTCCTCCAAAATTCTGATTCGTGATGTAATTTAACAGATGACAAATAATTGCAAAGTGAGAGACTAATTTAGGTATGAAATAAAGGTGAATCTAGTAACCAAGTGATGAGTAAATCAAAAGTACTCGATAGGACAAACTAAATGTGCAAACTAAATAAATAAAAAAAATATATAAAATTCAATTGAATCCAATTCCCCAAGCACACGAAAATAAATATAAAGTCCTTTTAAATTCGATCTTCCAATCAACCGTCCCCCAGGTAATCGGTACTCACCAGAGTCAGTGAGTATATGTAATATAATCACTCCGGAGCAGAAGGCTTCTAATCTCCCCGTTCCGATTCCCTCAAAAAACACCCGACAGCACTTTCCAGCGCTTGTCACTTGCAGTCTCCGTGGAGGTCCCGGCTCTCTGTTAAAAGCAGGTGCCGGCTCCTCTCATCCGTGGGCAACAGCGATATTGTACGGCAGATATGGACAGAATGACCTTAATTTTTGCTGTTGTGGGTCTGCAGGCAGCTTTGGTTCCACAAGCATGTGCTCTCCTCTTGCTGCACTGTGTAAGAAGCTCCTAGAGCCGGGAGGAATTGGATTCAATTTAATTTTATATATATATATATATATATACCTTGAGGAGGTAATTAGTCCCCCAATTTGGTGGATATATATATACCTTCAGAACAAAGCAATATATTATTTTATATTTTACACCTACCTTTTTTACGGAATTTACCTTTAGCGCTGTGTTTATTACTTGCACATCATATTTTACCAATTCATAGCAGCTTTAGGATTAATATTTAACTTTTTAGCCTTACCTTTCCAAGAGCGCAGATTCTCTTATTTAAAGATGTCTGAATAGAGAATATTTCTACTCAAGGACACTAGCCCAATATAAAATATAGTATTGGCCAGGGGGCAAATGTCCTGCCCAGTCCTCCCCTGTTCTGAGTGTTATCAGTGCAGAGCTGACACAGGTGATCAGACAGCCTGACAAGTCTGCAGGGACTAGCACGGAGAAAATGCAAGTAAATAATAATAGATACAAAATATATAAATAGTACAAAAAGGTAAGGATTAAAAATACTGTAACCTCTTAAAGAGAAACTTTACCCATATCTTTAAAATAACAACAAACGTTTAGAAATGTTTAGTAATGACAATCTACAAATCACATACTTCTAGATAATTGCCGGCTTTGTATTCTTTGCATACCTTGTTTCTCTTTTCTTTCACAGTCTTCTGACAGTGGCCATTTTTTTTACTAAGGGCAGATTACCAGCTCTGCCTTTAATTCCTGGAACTCTGGCACATGTGACTAGGACATGTGGCCATGCACATCATCTCAGGGGAGGAAAATGCCTTTGCCTGAGATCTCGTGAGATTGCAGATGAGATTTCCCAGCAATGCTCGTCACTGTAAAATTCTTCAAAAGACTTTAAAGACTGATATGTATGTTCTCTGGCATTCCATTTTTGCCCCCCCCCCCCCCTCTCTCTCTCCCTCCCAGGGTAATCTGAAGTTTGGTGTGGATGGAGATATCCCGGTCATTGAGAACAGTAAAGTTGTCTCTGTAGTGGCGGACTTGCTGGGCTGTAAAGCTGATCTTCTAGAGAAGTCTTTGCTCTTCAGGACTGTGGCTACCGGCAGAGACGTTATAGACAAGCAGCACACGGAGCAGGAGGCCAGCTATGGCCGAGATGCATTCGCTAAGGTGAAGATCAGCTAAACAAATGATAAAGATGTATAGAATGAGTTGTTGATGTGGCTTGGAGCTGAACTAAGAAGATTCATGTTAGTAAGATGATTGATGGCTGTGATTCTCTCTCTTTCTGTCTCTGTCATCTTACAGGCCATTTATGAACGCCTGTTCTGCTGGATCGTCAGTCGCATCAACGACGTGATTGATGTGGAAAAACAAGACGCGGCTCTTCACGGGAAAAACACAGTGATAGGTGTGCTGGACATATACGGGTTTGAGATCTTTGACAATAACAGGTGAGGTGTCTCTTTGATGCAGGGCTTGTGGAAAGTTTGAGGTTTGTGATATTTTATTGGCTAATGGAAAGCGATATGAAAAGAGACTGTATATACTACCTTACTGGCAGCCTCTTACTTGAAAACCAGCCTGTTTACTGCTCACTGCCCTCTGCAAATATTCACACACTTCCAGGAGTGTATTAGCCTGCTTTCCCACTGCTTGCTGTGGTTTCTCCTGGTGGCTTCTATGCCACTACAGCGGGAGGAACCACAGCGAGTGGTCGGGAAAAACAGGGAATGGGCATTTCTAATCATTTGAATCTCCATTTTGAAACTGTTCTAATACCACAAGCTTCTCGGATATATCTGCGTGTCCTGTAATTCATTTGATGATTTGTTTATTCCTCACATTTAATATACAGCAAAAGAGCAATCAAAAAAGTAAAATTTTTGAGCTGCCCATACACCTTACGATTATCGGCCGATTTTCGTATGCGATCGCGTTTTCGTACGATATTTGTACGGTTGATGGGGAGTGTACAACCGCAAATACTGTACAATCGATTGACTTGACTATCCAGCAGGTTAGAAAACTTCGTCGATTGTACGATTTTTTAAAGATTGGCGTTTCCGTACGTCAAAATTCGTACAATTAACACTGCTCATGCACAAACAAAAATTAAACTACAGCTGATTGAACCCTGTAATAATTGGGGCAGGATGGGGCCGCCATATGAAAATCGTACAACGGTTCGATCATCGGACGAAAAGTTTCGTCCGATGATCGCAGGGTGTATGGGCAGCTTTACAATTAAAAAGTGCTTGAATTTTAGCAAAGTGACTATGAAAAAAAAAGCAGCTGTTTAAGAAATTATATTTCCTGTCTTGACTTTAGCAAATGCTCATCACTTCTTGTCCTACACTAGAAAAGTGACAGCTGATTGGTTTCTAGGGAAAACACAGACATTCCCTTTTGTTTTAGATGTCAGAAGAAACCGCACTCAAAGTTTTATTTGTAATCTTCAATTGTCAGTTTCTGTTTACAATACTTTTCCTAATGTCTTCCAGCTTTGAACAGTTCTGCATTAATTACTGTAATGAAAAACTACAGCAGCTGTTCATCCAGCTTGTTCTGACGCAGGAGCAGGAGGAATATAAGAGAGAAGGGATTCCCTGGAAACATGTGAGTATCGGGAGAGTGCAATCGGTGAAGCTGCTGTGATGTCACATCTCATGTCCCGCTCACAAACTGGTGCTATAGTGTATCATTCTGATAACATTCGGTTCTCTGCGCTCTCTTGCAGATAGATTATTTCAACAACCAGATCATTGTGGACCTGGTGGAGCAGCAACATCGTGGTATCATCGCCTTGTTGGATGACGCTTGTATGAACGTGGGGAAAGTGACAGACGCCATGTTTCTGGAAGCACTAAATAAGCAGCTGGGGAAGCATGCCCACTACACCAGCAGGAAGGTAAGAGTTGGATGGTTACTGTGGCAGGCTTCTCTAGTATCTGTTTATTTCACACGCAGTACTCACATAGTATAATGTGCATGGCCATAGATGAAAGCAAGCTTTTTGATGGACGTGTCTGTAAGTCTGAAGGTGATGGGGACTATACAGTCACGCAGGTAAGCCATAAAAGTCTATCAGGATGTTATCTTCCTTAAAGGGACCATTCAAGATGGAAGTGATAGTCTTTTTAAAACTCACACACTTATACTCACCACCCCTTTCTCTGTCGTAGCTGGTGCTTCTGTGCATAGGTGAGCATGTGACCTTCTCCCATAATGCAGTTCTTGGGCTTAGTGGCCAATCTCCATACCAGAACGCTGTCAGCCTTATGCAAGCTCTGATACCCTCTGACACAGGCCTTACACAAGAGTGGGACTGTAGAGAAACAGCAACTGGGAAGCACAGCGGCTATAAGTGAATCGGCCCATGCACAGGGTCCTCAGGGCCCATGCACACATGTTTTGAAGCATCTGGCACTGCCAGTAGTAACGTTACAAATAACAATGATAAAAAGGAGCTTTCAAAGCTTTAATAACTTTTTATACACATTTGTGTGGCTCCATTTCTTCACTGATGTGACATTGTCTGCTTGTGACGTGGATTGTCCAGCAGAGGGAGCCAGATTCCCCATTGATTCTCACCAGAGCTGTGTACAGATCCAGCCTGAAATGATGATGTCATGTCTAGCCAATGGACACTGGACACTGCTGTCGCCTGACTGAGACAATCTGCAGCCCTATTGGTATTCAGGGTTTGAAGCATTGGTGTTTAGCACCCAGCTGTGGAATGCCTGGGCTCTATTTTTTTCCCTCTAAATTTGTCGATGAGAGAATAGTCATGTACGGCTTATTATTCCTATGAACTGGGCTCTGGCTATTGAGATTCCACACGTAATCAAGGCCATTGACAACAATAACATCACACCACTTTAATAGTGGACACAAGGCCGTTGGTTCAGAGCATGCTGGGAATTGTTTTCCCACATTAGCCGGAGGGCCATACATTGCAAGTATAAGCAAAAACGTGATCATACAGAATAAAAACAAAATTGCAGACTTATCTTTATTTTATTTTTTTTCGGTCTATGATGGGAATTGCTTAAAGAAGAATACCCTTACAGTGGGGCTTACTCTGATTTCCCTGCATACTGTGAGCTTTTCACAGAGTGCATTAGAAGCTGCAGTATGTCTGAGGATGTCCAGCACCTTTCCTCCCTAGCCTGACTGCCCGTGGCCTGTCTCTTTCATTCATTTGGATTTCAGTTCAGTATCACATGTGGCTATTACCTAGGATGGTTTGCATGCAAATGTGGCCTGCCTAGGAACACCCACTCCTACAGACAGAAATCCACCCATTATGGCAGTATATGCATAATTCTTACAAAGAACCAGCCCACTGCTTGTTTCAAGATTGAGGTCTCTTAAGAAGAGTACTGAGGCAGGGTACTGTGATGTTTTCAGGAAACCATGTACTGCACCCTGCTGCTCCCTCCCTCCCACAAGACATGATCTGCCTGCATTGCACAGAGATGAACAGAGACCTAGTGATTACATCACTGGGTCTAAAATAAAGTATGCAATCAAAACGAAAAGGTTATATTTCAAAATGTTAAAAGCATGTCGATGAGGGTGAAGGGAGGAACCAGGGAATGCAAAATATAAGTCGATAAGACTTCAGCTTTAAAACACGCTTTTGATTCTGTTCCCTGCAGGTCACCCCAACAGATAAAGCTCTAGAATATGACCGAGATTTCCGAGTCCGTCACTACGCTGGAGATGTAGTGTGAGTATCAAGAGGACTCGACTTTTATTAAGCCGTCACTTCTGGCATCACATTCTAATGTGTAATAACATGGCACAGTCCTATTCTCCAGAGTGGTCATTGTAATCATCTCGGCATTTGGTGAGTTTCCTTGTTTTGTTTCTGACCATCTTCTTTCCCCTAACAGTTACTCGGTGGTGGGATTTATTGATAAGAACAAAGACACATTGTTCCAGGACTTCAAGAGACTTATGTATAACAGGTGAGACAAATCATACTATGTGTATCACTCTGAACGTTGATCCATTCATCTCCTTTGCAAAACATTTCATAGATCTTTTTTTTTTTTTTTTTTTATAGAGGAAATGTAAAATATTTCCATATCCCAAAAGCTATCCAGCCTAAAACAAAAATTCTTATGCTCTCCTACAATCCCCCCCTTCCAACTTTAGTCTGTATGAGAGCACACACACCGATTTTAAAACTCAATTAAACAAATTAGTCTTAGATAATCAATATTTGTGTGGCCACCATATAGGGCATATGTACATAGCGGGGGGTTTACAGGAGGATTGTAATAAGGGGGCAGATATCATTTTATAATTGGTTTAGAAATCCTCTTTAGAATGGTCAGAAGATGCAGTTGATTCTAGAAACCTTTATATAGTGTTTTGTCTATAGTATTTATATTTGTATTAGTTAGGTATAAATGGGAATTGTATATGCACCCGAGCACAGCCACATTTGCTCATTTAATAAGCAGGCTTTGCTTCCGGCCGATCCCCTAATCTTCCTTAAAAGGTGTCTTTGGTTTAACATTGTAGTATATAGGTGTCTTGCTGCACTCCTTACTGGTATAGGATGTCCCTTGAAATCCTGGTGGGTGCTCGTAGTGACCATGCATGGTGGAAGTTTTAAAAGGATGTCGCCAGCACACCATTTAAGTTAAATCAACAAAAGTCCATTTATTAAATGGAGTACGGTCATTGCAGTACAAGCGCTTTTTTGAAGTCCCCTTCATCAGGCTCAGGATGACACAACCACAATGTTCTGTACCCTTTAAATAGACATACCCAAACATGTGCAAACACCACGTTTAACAATGGACTCTCAGCAGTAATATGGGCACAATGCACACAGTACGCAGGAGCCATGGCATCTTTGTCTCCGCTCGGACATAATAAAGCTTAGATCAGTGTTTTTATTCCCTGTCAAATAAAAAATATATCATTGGAAATACTGACCTGTGCCCTAGATTAATGTAAATGTTGATGATGGGTCCACTTGTAGAAAGGAGCACTCTGTGAATGCTCTTACTAATTGGCAGTATTTAGACCTGGGGTAAGCAACCTCCGAACTGCAGCTGTGGTGAAACTACAAATCCCTTCATGCCTCTGTGTGGCATTCCTGTGGCTGTCGGAGTCTTGCAATGCCTCATGGGACAACAGCTGGAGTGCTGAGGTTGCCTACCCCTGATTTAGAAACAAATCTAAAGCTGGCCAAACACTGTTAGAATTTCCAAGAGAAGTCATTCGATTCCCCCATACAGCCTGAATATAGGAATCCCTGCTGCCAGCTATTGCATTCAGCAACTTCTGCTAAAAACCCTAACAGTGCCTGCATCTGACTGTTCGGCCAGTAATTTTCCACCCGCCTCCTTTTTGTTGATTGAAAAATCGACTTATGTTGAACCAGGCAGGGCCACTCACAGCCTGAATTTAGGCCGATTCATCAGGAATTGGCTGAAATTTGCGCTGTGGTTGGCCAGCTTCGGACAGATATTAAAACCAGAGGTAGCAGAACTACATAGCATCCATCCGCATCCATATCTGCTAACATTTCAGAACAAAGGAAAAATGATCAGGTTTTGTGAACAATGTAATTATATTTTTGCTTAGAGAGGGAACACTAGTGAGATAACTTGCTCAGATTTCTTGGGGACTGCAGGGGTGAGATGTAGATGCCAAGGTCCTGGTTCTATAGCCCACACTGCAGTAGCTGCCTCTCTGTTCTTGCTGTATTCATTCCAGTGTAAGGGAGATCAATAACATGCCAGCATCGGTAAGATTCCCTGCAACTGAACGTTGTGTGTGGGTTATGCTGGGGACCCAGTTGTAGGGATGGTACTACTAGACTCTGAAGAAGGGGGTATTCACTCCACTGGTATTTATCCTGGGATAATTTTCCTCAAGAACTTTATACAGAGAATACTAAAAGTGAAATGGGCTCCATCATAGTAGAAGCGGGAGTGCTGAATATCACGATTTCATATGCTCAAATTCCACAATTAGACCCATTAAGCTGCCTGGGCAGCTGTGCCGTGTTCTTTGTAGAAGATGGAAGGAGGAGATTCATGAATATTCATGAAGTCTTCTACACACGCCTCCTCTTGATGTCAGTGGCTGACAGTGTTCCAAGGAGCAGTGAGGTACAGCCAAGTCAATGTTTCCCGGAAACACCGCCAGTGGGATGGGAGGTGGGGGAAGGACTGACACAATCCAGCTTACTCCTGATTTGATATCAGCTGCAGCCTCCTGGTTATATAGAGTACACAATCTTCTGATCCTGCACGAATAAAGCGGTTATGTAATCATGTTATTATAAAACAGATGGTGACGGGACTTCATCAGGATTTATTACAGATCGCTAGTATTTATCGTATTATTGTCATGTACACCTTAGCTGCTTCTAAGATATAAACGGTCATGAATATTAGTCCATTATATTATGCGGCAGCATGGTTGCTTTGCAGCTCTGATGTCCTGGGTAAGGCTCTACTGGGTCCACAATGTATGCTCTACCCATGCATGCATTGATATCCAAGTGCTCCAGTTTGCTCTCCCAAGCCAAAAGGTGAAAAGGGAAAAAGGGAAAAAAAATGCTTATCTAAGCTTTATTATGTCCCCCATGCATGCATTGGTATCCAAGTGCTCCAGTTTGCTCTCACAAGGCAAAAACATGCTAAGGGCCAGTGTCAATGGGCTTTTGTTCACTTCAAAACTGCTTTTTTCCCCCACATACAAGTCTATGGGAATGCAAGAGCAGCTGAATCAGGTTAAATGCACCTTCAGTGAATTCTGAATGATCTCAGAAGCTTCTCAAACTGATCTCAAACCCACACTGCGTTTGCTCATCAAAGCCTATCGACATACGGCCTTATAGTTTAGCTGGCTTTCACTCAGGTTGGCCCACGTGAGTGTTTGTAATACTGCTTTGGGAACATTACATAGTAAAACTCTTTTGGGGGGCAGTGATTGATGTGAACAGAGACTTTTCTAGGAAGGTTGAAGCTCTCCCATCCCTTAAAATTGACATTGATAAGCATGGCAATAGGCAAAGAGAAGCCATCCCATTTGTCTTATCTGTACTGTGATGGCCCATCGGGTACCAGCTGCCTACAAGTATGACAGGCAGGGCCACAGTTTGATCACTTGCACTATTCCCCTGCTTTATCTCCTGGGATATGGTTGTAGCTGGTACCCCTGGACATCCACCTGACGCAAGGCTTCTGCTTAGGGTGCCTGCGCATGACCCAGCTCCAATGTGAACGGCATATATACCCTGCAAAAGTATGTTGGCATTATACATACATGTAGTTATACGTTTTATTGCACACCAAAAAAGAAGACCTACAGTCTGCAATAATTAAGAAGTAACAGCTGCTTTAGGAATTGAAGTCAATCAAGCATTACAAGTGTGTTAAGTCAACCAATGGAGCAATTTGTTATTGGATGTTAAAATCAATAGAAAGCAGCTTATTGGATTCACATTATTTTCTCATTGCAGTCTTATTCCAAGTTCTTTGACCTCAATATATTACCCCTGTGACTTTTCCTGTCTCTTCACCAGCTCCAACCCAGTGCTGAAGAACATGTGGCCTGAGGGAAAACTGAGCATCACAGAAGTCACCAAACGCCCCCCGACAGCTGCCACCCTCTTCAAGAACTCCATGATTGCCCTGGTGGATAACCTGGCATCTAAGGTACCAGCTCTGTTACATAACTCTGAGATGCCAGCAGCTCTATTGCTCATCCATCACGACCTCCAACTGCCAAGACATCACTTGAACAATACCTGAATAATAATATTATATTTTTCAGTCTGCAGGGGGTTTAAGCCAGAAAAATAAACCAGGATTTCATTGGTGACATGTAGTTGAATATTATTTTGCATACCTATCATTTTATATTTATTGCCATCATTAAAAGTATTACAGATCGATCTTCTGTTTTTTACCTGAATTGGCTGACATCTATGCATTTTCTTAATCGGACAAACAGCAACCCATAACTTCAGCAATCAATCATCTTTCATTGTTCTAACTGCCCCAAGCCAATGCAAAATTAGTCAAGATAAGCTGGTGGCTAAGTGCCCCAAATTGCTCCTAGTGCAAAGAGAAAGTGATGGCATTGCACAATTCAGAATTAGATTTCTGCTTCTACCCTCTCTGCTGCAATCTGATTGGTTGCTACAGACAGCGGGCATTCCAGTTCCAGAGGCCTTGTAATCTAAATAGAAAAGTAAACATGCTCATGGACTAAACACGAGGCCAGAACTAATATACACTCTCTGTATACTTGAAAATAAACTTTATAGAAATAAGCACTCGGTGTATGGAGGTACAACCAATGATTTACCAGAAAATTGGAAATAAGGCCCATGGAGACTGACCCCTTTGTGTGAACTATAAATATAGATATAAAGGTTCTTTCTGTATACCTCACATTAGATGTTAGGACTATGTAAAAAAAAAAATGATGCTAAGGCCTCATTCACACTAGAAAAGGCCGGCACGTACAGCTCCGTGCTGCGTGCACGACCGTATCGGGCCACTCCCGGGAAGGACAGGGGCTGCGTGTGATTAGTACGCAGCCCCTGTCCTTCTCTATGGGACTACACGGCCGTACGCTACCCTACGCTCACCCCAAGTGCAGGTCCATACGGGTGCGGGTGTCCCTGCTCAGACGCAGACAGGATCCATCCTGTCAGCGTACGAGCACAGACACCCGCATCTGCACAGACGTGCAGGTAGGGTGAGCATAGGGCGGCGTACGGCCGCATACTCCCATGGAAAAAGACGGGCTGCGTACTAATCACACGCAGCCCCTGTCCTTCCCGATACGGCCGTGCACGCACCATGGAGCTGTACGTGCCGGCCTTTTCTCGTGTGAATGAGGCCTAATAGTAACGCAGGAGGCAGAGTCATAGTAGAGGCGCTTCTAAAACTGAATGTTATCTGTTGCCTGCACCATTTAACTTTGCATCCCTCTTTGCTGACCTATCAGGAGCCTTACTATGTTCGCTGCGTAAAGCCAAACGAAAAGAAGTCACCATCTTTGTTTGATGAAGAGCGCTGCCGCCACCAGGTGGAGTATTTGGGTTTACTGGAGAACGTTCGTGTCCGGCGAGCTGGTTTCGCATATCGGCAGGTGTATGACCGATTTCTCCATAGGTACGAACACGTTTTTCATGTGACTATACTGTGTTGTCATCAGTCGTTTACAAAGCCACATGTGTGTATCTGTCAAAAAAAATAGTCATGTTGGTCAGGTAAAATGGAATGTAGGAGACCTGTGTGATATTAGCTTTTCGTGGTTAGAGTATTACCTACCCTACTGCTTTGGTCACATGGATACTTACAGCAGAACTCCATCCAAGCTTAACCAACAAAGGTTAAATATGAACCTCGGTGTATGTCCTCCACCAGCATAAGCTATTTTTTCAATTGTGCTGTGTTTTATTGTCCTGCAACTCTTCTTTACATTCAATTCCTATCTTCCCCTGCACCCCACCTAAAAATCCAGTCCAGGTTGATATCATAGTTGTAATTTATCTTATCTGTAGCTCCCCTTATCATATTACTTGCACTGTCACTGGATTAGGTTGGCATATAGGTAAAAGGCAGAGTTCATATAGTGTATGTGAGAAGGCAGAGTTCACATTCCCGTCAGTTTTTCTGGTAGACCTCATTGGAAGCTGAATGTTAGTCTATGGATTAGCGAACCTAAACAGGCCTGTGTCAGTTTACATTCGATTACCTCCGAGTCAGTCTAGGCCCAAAAAAGGTTCTATTTTGGGGGACTTGAATGGGAAGGACCGGAGGTAGTCGGATGTAAACAGACACATGTCTACTTACATCCGGCTGCCCATAAAACTAACATGGGTATGGTTAGTACAGTTATTTCGGTAGAGAGAAAAAAAGTTGAACAGACTTGGATGTCACAAAACATCTGTTTGATACGGCTCTGATCAATAGGGGAACTGGGTATAGATTCCCTGCTGATTGGATCAGGCACCGACCGTGTATAGCTGCGATACACGTAAATTACTATGCCTTTTGCAGTATATTAGTATGCCTTTTATATTGTCCAGTTGTGTTCCATAGGCAACGGCCTCTTTCACCGTCTACTCTAACCAATGTGTTTTGTCTACTTATCCAGGTACAAGATGATCTCCCGGCTAACCTGGCCTAACCATGACATGTCTTCAGACAAAGCTGCTGTGCAGAAACTCCTGGAGGAATGTGGATATCACAATGACGCTGCCTATGGTAAAACCAAGGTTTTTATTCGTACCCCGCGTACCCTGTTCTCCCTGGAAGAGAAGCGGAGCGAGATGCTGATCAGGATCATTCTCTTTTTACAGAAGGTGAGTTAGTAATAGAGGCACGGTTACTTGATTTACCTTCTGTGGGAAATGTTTTTGCATTTCCACTTTTCCTCAGTATGTTAAAAACTGTACACCAAAAGTTTGTGTACACCTGACCATCACACCTAGTAAGTGGTCAAAAGTATGTTGAAAGCCCCCTCCAAATTATGAAGTTGAGGTATTTCCAGTGAATTATGGTATTGTTGATACTACAGCATACAAAGACATGTCAGACAATTGTGCTTTTGCAACAAACTGGGGAAGACCCTTTTCTGTTCCAGAATGTTTGTGCCCGTGTACACAAAGCCAGCTCTGTAATTTATGGTTTGGTGTGCAGGAACTCAATTAGCCTGTACAGAACCCTGACCTCAAACTACTGCACATTTTTGGGATGAATTGGCATGCCAAGCCAGATATTTGTTCAAGGAAATGCTATTTTGGCATTACCACACCTCAACATTTTGGCGAAATCCTTCCCAGAAGTGTGGAGGCTGTGATAACGGCAAGGCGGGGGGTCAATTCCATATTGATGCCTGTGGTTTTGAATGTCTAACAAGCTTATATAGGTGTGATGGTCAAGTGTCCAAAAATGTTTGGCCATGTAGTGTGTGATACATACACCCTTGGTAGTCAGCAAGATCACTCTGATCCTTTCTGATTTAGTGATACTACTTCCTGGCTCAGCTCCCTGCTCACTGGACAGAAGTGATTATGCTGATTTACTGTCCAATGAGGAGCCTGGAGGTGATGTTACTTAGGAAGGAAGCTTATAAAAGAACTATGAGGTGAGTGCTTTTCACTCATAGTTCTAGCCGACCTGTGACAATGAGATTGTGACAGGTCGGCTCAGTAGATCGGGAAGCAAGCGAACATGTAACGGCATTCGCTCACTTCTCGATCCTGTCATGGCTCTCTGCCGTGACAGGGGAGGGACTGGATTCCCCCCTCCCCTCTCCGATCCTCCAGCGCTGACTGGCAGAACGGACGGGGGAGGGTACAGCTGGCTCTGCCTCTAGATAGGCAGAGCCAGCTGTCACTCACGCAGCTGGGCGGATCCAGACATAACTGGCAGGATCCACTTCAACTGCGGCATCTCAGTATACCATGAGCTGTAGCTTGCAGCATACTGAGCTAAGGGTCACGGGAGGACACTAGTTTGTGTCCTCCCATCACTCTAAGGAGAACTATGGGGAAAAGCCCTAACCCCATAGTTCTCCTTTAACTACTAAACCTATAGGTGGGAAAATACTTGTCACCCTTCTGACTTTGCAGTGTGTACAAATCATTCTGCAGGTTAAAAAAAAGTTAACATGCATATATTTCAGTTGCGTATTTCGCACTTTGCCTGGAGATGAACACCATATGTTTCTAAGCTTAATTTCAACATGTTTCCAACTTCCCAACCCACTAAAATGTAAGCTTGTTCTGCTTATGTCATCTTCATGGTCTAGCTGTGGAGGGGAACACTGGCTCGCTGGCAATATAAGAAAACCAAAGCAGCCGTCAAAATAATACGGTACTACAGGCGCTACAAAGTGAAGTCCTACATCCAGGAGGTGGTCCGCAGGTTTAATGGCGTAAGGAACAGCAGGGATTATGGGAAGAATGTCAAATGGCCTACACCTCCAAAGGTCCTTCGTTCCTTCCAAGAATTCCTGCAAAGAGCCTTCCACAGGTATTCAGACACAACTGGACCAGAAATTATGCAAAATTTGACTGTGATTTTAATAGTAGCTAAAGATGCTTTCTTTGTTCATAGGTGGAGGGCGTACCATCTTCTAAAAAACATACCTCCTGCTGACATACCAAAAATCAAGGCCAAAGTGTCTGCATTTGAGAACCTCAAAGGTCAGCGCGCTGACTTAGGCCTACAGAGACGCTGGGAAGGCAGCTACCTTGCATTGGTAGGTGCTTGGCAAAGCTTGCGTTGTTTTTTCCAGTGTTTTTTAATCTGTTGTATTAAATTTCCCTTATTGCTTGTATCAGAAACAGGAAAACAGCCAAGACTCAGAGGTGTTTGTATCACGTGCCAATGAGCTGCAGAGGAAAGACAAGTTCATGCAGCCTCTCTTCTCCTGTCATGTACGCAAGGTATGCATCTATGGGGCTCTGATATGTCACTTTATAAGGTATGGCCAGGTATAGAGAGAATACAGTGAGCATTTCATAATGGACATGATTCAGCTCATTCTGCTCCCCCATGACTGAATAGTCTAACTGCACCTTGTAGTAAGAAGTCATTATCATTTTCTATTGTAACTTCTTATCCTTTAGTGAATCTGGCTTCCTCTCGCGTTTCCCCTGTATATGTTATCTATGTAATCTTTTATATAAAGAGAATTATTGCACTTCATGCAAGAATTCTTAAATGTGTTTTTGAATTCTGCTCCAGTCTGGGCCTACTGATGACCGTTCTCACCCTGACAACTTTGTGTTCTCATTCTGATAACAAACAAAGGCTTCCCAGCCCCTGAATGTGCATAAATGTAACAAATGGCAGAGCACAGAAGTCAGCAGGAGTGAAAGCAACTGTTTGAGGTTGAAGTCCTTTCTGCATTTTCAGCAGGAAATCGGGCAGTTGGCAAGACAGTCACTTTTCAGACCTTGGGGGCCTTTCTTACTCTCAGCTCCAGTGTTGTCCTCATATAAAGTAAGGGGACAAATATAATGTCCTGCAAGTTAACATACAGTTACACTCATTTAGGTTTAAATATTAAAATTCATAAAGAGACACTACTGCCTTGCTCATTCAGGGAAAGTGACAGTGTCTCCCAGGCGGCACAGCTGGCAACAATACCTGGTGCTTCCAGGTATAGGGAACATGTGGTATAGTAATTGTAAGAACTTGCGCTAATGGAGGTTGAGGATAATAAGATGTTTAAAATGATTGTTATTAAAATATTGATATTAATAAAAAATTAATTAATACACATTAATATTGATAAAAAATGTGTGAATTTTAGTTGTTCTCGAAGGGTGTTGGAAGCTGCTGAACTCAGGCACTGAGCCCCTAATAGAATGTGTTTTCTTAAAACGTACAGCGCTAGCCGTCCTTCAAAAGTGGATATAAGAAATCAAACGTTAGGATCGAGGTTTGAAGCATGCAATTGAAGAGTAGATAAAAATATAAATCAAAAATTCAGTAAAAGGGTGTATCTCAAAAACTCAATATCTTGAATTTAAATCAATGTGAATGGTTGTGTATGAACAGATAATAGTCTCTTAAAATTGATCAGTGATGTATAAAAATATATATAATAATTGTTAATAAACTGTGATAAGTTGTGAATATATGTATCAAGTGTGGGTGATTATTGTTAATAAATAGTGAATACAACAAACAATGTGTAACCGTTTGAATAAAATGAAATAAACTTCTATCGGTGTGTATGTGAATAGTCCAAATCTTTTAAAGTCTTTGAAAATCCATAAATATAAGACACTTCCACAGTGAAAATTCAGTGCAATAATGTGTCCAACGAAAATCCAAAAAAGAACCGAAGAAAAAATGGAAAAAAAAATGCGGAGAAAATCCCCTCAAGGGTATGCACTCACCAGATGAAAGATGTTAAACACGTTTGTTTCATCAAGGTAAGCCTGGAGCTCCGTCTTTAATTCCCACGCTTAATCGGATTTCAAGGAAGGAAGGGTCTCCCGTTTCCCCGAGGTGTTTAAACGGAGTATCATTTTTTAGGGGTCCCCCCGGTGGGATGTCCAATCAGGTAATAAAGATAAAGCATACGCTCATAGTGTAATAAAACCCAGGTTTATTATGATCACACAGCATACAAGTTAAAAAGAGCGCTAAAATATATTTTAAAAAAGCCGGCTGATCACTTTAGGCGTGATTCCTTTAGACTGGATCAAATGACGTGAGAATAGGCCCGCCCCCGACGCGTTTCGTCACAGACGTTTTCAAGGGATGGCAGGTCTTGAAAACGTCTGTGTGACGAAACGCGTCGGGGAAACGGGAGACCCTTCCTTCCTTGAAGTCCGATTAAGCGTGGGAATTAAAGACGGAGCTCCAGGCTTACCTTGATGAAACAAACGTGTTTAACATCTTCTGATCTGGTGAGTGCATTCCCTTGAGGGGATTTTCTCCGCATTTTTTTTTCATTTTTTCTTCGGTTCTTTTTTGGATTTTCGTTGGACACATTATTGCACTGAATTTTCACTGTGGAAGTGTCTTATATTTATGGATTTTCAAAGACTTTGATTTGGACTATTCACATACACACCGATAGAAGTTTATTTCATTTTAATCAAACGGTTACACATTGTTGTATCCACTATTTATTAACAATAATCACCCCCACACTTGATACATATATTCACAACTTATCACAGTTTATTAACAATTATTATATATATTTTTATACATCACTGATCAATTTTAGTAGACTATTATCTGTTCATACACAACCATTCACATTGATTTAAATTCAAGATATTGAGTTTTTGAGATACACCCTTTTACTGAATTTTTGATTTATATTTTTATCTACTCTTCAATTGCATGCTTCAAATCTCGATCCTAACGTTTGATTTCTTATATCCACTTTTGAAGGACGACTAGCGCTGTACGTTTTAAGAAAACACATAGGGAACATGTGACCTCCTCCCCTGTGACAGGCGCTAGGCTCAAGCACTGTCACATGATTAGGGGAATGACGTTACCGCTCCACTTAGCTTCAGACACTAGCAGACACCAGGAATTAAAGTGCATCTGTGACGGAGACAGGAGCAGCAAGGGGGTTTAGGTATGGGAAGGGGAAGGGGGGGGGGGGGGGAAAGAACCTTGGGGGGGCAGGG